AATATCGACTTAAATAAAATCACACCTTACTGACTCACGAAGTAAAACGGCTAGGACCCTATAGATTTCATTCTTCTTCGGCTCAGGTGGACCTAAATACTAAGCGCCCCAAAACACTGATACTAACCTAAATAAATTCAGGTTGCTTTCCCAATAAGGCCGCATAGTTCCTTACTCTTTAATTAAACCCCTAAAGATAAAAAACCTCAAGGGAGAGATCCTGGGGGAGAAGCAGCTCTCTCTCGGGTTGACTTCTCCCCCATAGCCATGAGTCGCCTTCTCAGGGCTAAGTCATTAGCTTCATGAGGGTCTTGCTCTCTGCCAGCCCTCATGTTGGGAGGATCTCACCATGGTGGGAGAGAGTCATGTGTCGGTCCACCACATGACAGCGGGGCCCACCATACCTTTAGCTCCTAACTTAAAAAAAAAATGGTCCTCCCGAGATTTTAACCCATTTCAGATGGGGTTAAACCCCCCCTCTTCCTCCCTTTATCTTACACGCTTAGCCTAGGCCAGAAATGTCAAACTTGACTAAGCTGACGGCCGGATGGAACCCTTCAGGAGTGGTGGGGCCCACAATTGCACATCTTGCACTTAAGTATCAATTACTAACAGGTTGAAATAATCTACGTTTTTTCAAAACCAACTGTTGAAGAGGACTTTGCAGGCTGGACGGAATCAAATAGTTGGCCGGTAGTTTGACGCCCATGGCTTAGACCAACCCAAAGTTCGTGGAAGGTCATTCTCAAGAACGATATGGAGGTGCTGCTGCTTTATGTCGTTGAGAGAGTCGCTGAGTTTTAGGGCTGCTGACTGAGCTCGGGAATTCCCGAGAAACAGTTCGTGGAAGATATTCGCGGATTTGGGTGCCGGTCTCGCGCTCGCACTTTCTCTCCGGCCTTCGCAACAGTTACATCCGTTCTTGAAAAGGGGAGAGAGTCATTGTACAACTTGCGCACAACCCCCCCCCCTCCTCCCCATGACTAAAGGATGTTCACACCTCTTTAAGAGCTTTCACGCGGGAAAACCCACGCACAACACTTGGAGTCCCGTTTTCCTCCCTGCGAAGGAGAGTAATTCCAGAGGGTGAAAACGGCGGGATCCCATCAGGGTGGGACAGGACAGGATGGCTTGTTCTTGGATCGCAAGGATGCCTCAGAATATCAAAGAAACTTCAATATGCTCTCTTTGTAGATTTAAGACCTTCGAGAGCATAGGGGTCTGTCCACGGTGTCGGACGTGACATCCGGAGTAATACGTTTAGTATTACTCCGGATAATTACTCTGGAGTAATACAAATTGCAATTAACTATATTATGGATGACGAATCAGCATATGAAGGCTATAACATTTTGCTTTAGGTATTGACTAAAACTTCCATAATCCAAAGTCTTGCACTCTATTTTGTTACAGGTGTACCTATGTGCAAAGAAATGAGTCAGACGTGACATTTCTTGCATCCTCAAGTTAAAGTCACTTGTTCAAACGTTCACATATCTGTCTCGAGCGTACCCTAATAATTTAATTTCGTGTTCATTCTATAGAGTGAATGAAAGTCTGGAATTAGTGTAAGTCACCCCAAGATTACAACACTTGAAACAGAAAGTAAGCCCATTTTGTGATGGTGTCGGATGTGACAGGAAAGTTTCGGATGTGACATGTTCTCACAATGTATTTTGAAACGAGACGTCTGTACATATCTTTTAATTTCATTTTCAAGATATCGCTCAAATGGAAACAATTGACATCTACTTTTCACACCGGTGCTGATTTGAAATTATCAGTAAGCATGGAATGCCCATGCTGGCATCTGTTCCTGTAGTCCAATTCAGTCTCTCCAGGTATGCATTTTCATTCCATTTTTTAGTATCACGAGAATGGTATGAATAATATATCATAATCATGACTAACTTGTTCATTTTCAATGTAATATTCTCTTTTATTCATGCCCTCTGGGAAAAGAGATGATGAACTTCAGGAATGAAAGTAATATTTGCATATTTAGGAAAATGTCCGACTAAAATCCGAGGACCACTTAGCATGGACAGACCCATAGCCTCCATCGTTGAAAGATATTTGCTAACCGATGGTAAGCCGGTTTTTGCGCATTGACAACGATTTAGTTCATTAACCAGGAATTGAGACGCCATATTATAAACCTAAACACGGCATTAAGTGCAGAATTTTGAAACAAGGAATTCATGTGAAGCCAAACCTCATTAGGGCATATATCGTAAAAACCAAAACCGTTCCATGGAAATCATTTTTTTTTGCGTAGAGAATCCACATCGCCCTGCAGTGGCGGAAACCAGCGCTACCGATTAAAAAATAAATATTTTTAGCCAATGTCACCGTCATACATTTTACTTGGGTATGCCATGCAATCGCGATGAGGATCTAATAGTACCAAGGGATCGAATTACTGGAATGTTAGGGAAAGGGGGCATCCAATTGTCTCATTTTTCGTGATTCCACCACCGAAATTTCCTTCTGGACAGCACAAAAAGGACACTATCGGGCGTATTATTACTTCCCATGTTTTACGGTGTTTAGTACATTTGGGGGAAAAAAGCATGGAAAGAAAAATATTTATTGCACCATGAACGTGTACTTGCATGTACCCTTTCCCAACCACTGAACATACTTATGTAAACGCTGGAATTTGGAACACTTCCTGTTGGAAATTCACCCGAAGCTGCACATAGCCTCAGGTTCAGTCGCGATTGTGATGTCAGAAAGGAACTATAAGATCGACGGACAAAATCTTTCCCATTCTCAATATTTCCTTGAAATCTTAAGGAATTTTAAAGATCAAAGAGATTTTATTCACCTGGTTTCGGCTCGTCAAATATCATACATGAACGTGACAAAAAAGAACTTTCAAAGAAGGAACAGAGAATCACTCTCCGCTTGAACTTCGCTTCATAAGGATGTTCTGTCCATAGAGGCGCGTCAGCCTTTTCTGAGTCTTCCAGATGAGTTTACTGGATTCCTTTGAAATATTTCGCATAAATGCAGCTATTCCACAATATAGCGGGGGAAGAATGCACGTTGCAATGAACTTATTAATAGGATGTTGCGATTTTGAAGTCACTGAGGAGATAGGCAGCAAAGGAAGTGCTTCTTTGGCAGGACCTGTATGCGGAATGAACATGTTCGTCCAATCTGACCTTTCTCACTGGCGTGATCTCACCTTTTATACGTTTAAACGAAAGCCTTCTGAGACCGACCAGTCAAGGAGATGTTTGACTTGCGCAACATAGCAAAGGAAGTCTGATAATGAAGCTGTTGATGTTGTTATCACCGTGTCATCAACGTATTTATTCATGATGACGTTCGGATGTAACGAACGGAAACGATCGTTGTAGAAGGTATACAGGAATGTGGGTAAGATGCCGCCTTGTAGCTCTCCTGTGTTGCAGAAGAGGGTGTGACCGTTCTTACACCCAATGCACATACTGTGTATTCTCACTGAGGTGGCTGGTGATTCCTGGTGAAAATGTTAGTCAGGGGTGTGACTATGAATCTCAAAAAAAATGTTTTTGAAAGTCACTATGTCACCCTGCTTGGATCTGAGGACAAACAGAATTTCAATTCTTTGGTTGATCTTCTCACGTCATCTTCTGTCAAAATAGGGGATGGAGCTGACGGGTGTGTGTAGCCTTGCCGTATTGGGTCGGACTCAGTTCTTCCAAATTTCAGCATGACGCTATTCAGATCGTTAGTATCAAACGTAACGTGGAAAGATCGCACTCTCCTTTTTTTCACCGTCTTACATCATTGACCTTTGCCCAATATTCTTATAAGCTGGTCTTTTGACCAAAAACGAGATAGCAGATTTGTGTTGGTTCTTTGTACAACATTCCTCACTACCGCATCCCATACGTGAAAGAGAAAAAAATGTCATAGTAGTAGGAGCAGGTTGCAATAGAGAAGTGAAAAATCAATTAGGACAAATGAAATGTCGTGTTGCATGTGGTGGAATCTGGCAGAATGTGCCGCTCTCGAATAGATATCATCCTTCTACAGTACATAGGATGAATTTGCACCAGCCCACTTCAAGTATCGGCTGTAATCGTAGCCAAAAATCATGAAATCCGATTTATATACACGCAAAAACTCCAGGACCTGCTGTGGACTGAGCGTGTTAAAGTACTGCTCCACCAGTCCTTCCTTGTCTCCTCCTTTCTCGCTGCGGTCGAACAGCTGGAGGCCGACGCTTCTAGGGAGTTTTGCAGTCTCGAAGATGTACTCTGCATCTTCCCGCATCGTCTCTGTTCTGGCGATGATGCTGATGTTGTATGAGCATGGGGTGCAGAACTTGTGATATGGAGCATAGTGCTCATCAAAGACCCAGCCGTACTTGTCGGAGTCGATCACGTACTGGACGAAGTCTGAGAAACGGAGGACGCGTTGATTGAACAAACGGTTACCATTGTACAAGGCCATGATCTTCCGACGCAGCGGCGCGTAATAGGAGTTGTTCCCCTCGATTTTGTCTCGGTAGCAGGATATCAGTCGTTCGAAGGGTTCCCGAACGACCAGGAATCCGATATATCCATCATGGAGAACTTGAGTGAGATCCGTATTCGAAGGACGGGGATAGAAATGACGAAGAGCGGCCACAGGGGACGAGAACTTGGGCTTGGAATACCCCCTCCATATCGTTTTCCATATTGTAGAAGGGAATTTCTCTCCTGCAAAGTTTAGGAATACGTCGATCCATGATGTGGATGCTGCCTTGAAGATGTTACAGTAGGCCACGCGATGGCCATGGTCGATTATGTACTCCGAAGATTTGGGGGAACTCTCTTTGGAGTCCAACCATTCCCTGCACGCTCGATCGAAGATCTCTTTTCGCTTCCTGATCCGGTTTCGAACCTCCTCGTCCGCTCTCGCACCTCTACCTGATATCAAATTAAAGAAGCTTTGGGAAAAGAATGTCTAATTGCTTCTTGATTCTCAATACTAGTGTTCAAGCCTTTGAGAACGCTTTCTCGCCTCATTTATATGAACGCTTCCAAAAACCTCGAAATTGCATCTACGAGGGGCAGTCAAATGAAACGTAGCGGATGAAAATTTCAGACATTGAAATCAACTTACATGTTAATAATCACCATGGTTGGCAAGGCACTTCTTCCATTGTGAAACCAGACGACGGATGCCCTGTTCAAAAAATTCCTTGGGCTGTGATCGAACCCACTCGCAAACAGCCTCCTGCACCGCTGCGTCTGACGGAAATTTCCTGCCTTTCAGATTCTTCTTGAGGTCTCCAAAGATGTGGAAATCGCATGGCGACAAGTCTGGGCTGTAGGCCGGTTGCTCCAGTATTTCCCACCGGAACCGTGTCAGCTTTTCTTTCGTTACCTTCGCCGTATGGGGGCGCGCATTGTCGTGTAACAAAATGACACCCTTTGTCAAGAGACCTGGGCGTTTGTTTTTTATTCTGGTACGCAGATTCCCAAGAGTGATCACATACTGCTCCGCATTAATTGTGCGGCCATGTTCCAAGAATTCCACAAGCATAGGTCCCTTATGATCAAAGAAAAATGACAACATGACTTTCCCTGCACTGGCCTCTGTCTTGAATTTTTTGGGAGGAGGGGATGACACGTGCTTCCACTGCATGCTTGATCGACGAGTTTCTGGCTCGTAATGGTGACACCAGCTCTCATCACCTGTCACAATACGATTCAGGAATTCGTCACCCTCCTTTTCGTATCGACTGAGATGCTGCTGGCACAGTCGAACGCGTTCCGCCTTCTGTTCTTCAGAAAGGTGTCGAGGTACCCATTGGGCGCAGACTTTCCGATACGCAAGCCTTTCATGGATAATGGTGTGGACACTGCCATGACTGATCCCTACAGTATTCGCAATTTCATCCTTTGTTATGCGTCTGTTGGCTCGGATCAGTTCATCCACCGCCGCACAGTTTTCCTCCGTAATGACAACATGTGCTTGGCCTGGACGCGGATCATCCTTCACTGACGTTCGACCAAGATGATATCGCGCCGACCATTTCCGCACAGCAGATTCACACAAACAATGTTCGCCATACACTGCAAGCATTCTGCGATGAATTCCTGCTGCACTTTCTCCTTCGGCAGTCAGAAATCGAATCACTGCACGCTGCTCTTCCTTGGACGCTTCCATCTTGTACACCGCCATATTCGAGAAGCCCCTGTCAGCGCGACAATGGCAGGGGCGCCAACCCCTGCGCGGTGTTGCAAGCCGACAAGCAGGGCTACCACCCCACCAACGATGACCACTGGTCAGCGCTCCTGTATTACATCACAGGCTTCCGCTACGTTTCATTTGACTGCCCCTCTTATTTGAAGATATATACGCACATATGTGGTGCTACATCCTGGCGTACTTCCTCTGCTATGGGTGACGATATCCCCACATAATTTTTCTATTTGAGGTAATAGCAGTTATCATTCAATTGGTTGTCTTCTGGCGTCGTTGGAACGAATTTTCTATCCCCGAAATTGTTATATTAATACATAGGGTGATTTTATTATTATTCATTTTTTATGGGAGAAAGAAGTATTCTTTAATGTCAATAAAAATGAAAATGGAGGCAAATCATTGATGTTGCAAGGCGTTGAGATTTTTTTTTCTTCAGAACAAATCTCTGATAGATGCATTGTCCCGTTACATAGTTTACAGGTGAATCATAACACCTTAATTGCAGTAATAATCAATGTTCTATCCTTTCAAAATTCACTAAAAATAGTTTGTCCAATTTTGGACAAACCATAAACCAACAGAGAAACCTAGAAATAGAGGGAATTGTAGACCACTTGAATAATCAAATTCCAATCAATCAATGCGCATGCACTCCTGATTCAATACCCTACCTGTCCTGAATCGCCTTACAATTTTCTATATTCCAAATTTTTCCACACCATTTCCC